TATATATATGTGTATGTATGTATGTATGTGTATATATTAGAGATGGACCGATCCGATATTTAGTATCGGTATCGGTCCGATACTGACGTAAATTGCTGGATCGGATATCGGAGAGAAATTTAAAATTTTTATCCGATCCAGTGAATATCACAAAAGCACCTCAAAAACTCGCTAACATGGTATAACCCAGGTCATGACCTTAGCACGTCAGAGCAGTATGCGTCACGTGATCCAGCGGCTATCGTGTGGGAGAGTTCAAAGCCATCATGTCAGCAGTGTGGACTTATTTCAAACTAAAAGACGAAAAAAGCAAGACTGCCGAATGCAACTTATGCGATGCAAGTGTTTCGCGAGGTGGTAGCAGTGTGGGGAATTTTAACACCACAAACATGATTAAACACTTACAGAAACACCACGCAAAGGAGTACGCGGAATTTAGCCTGGCCTCCAAAGCTAAGCAGAAAAGTGTACCGCATCAGCAAACGCTTTTGGAAAATATTCAGAGACGTGAGAAATTCCCTCTGGAAAGCAACAGAGCGAAGCTGATAATGGAGAAAATAGTTGAATTTGTTGTGCTTGATGACCAGCCCCTTTCCGTTGTGGAAAATGATGGTTTTCGACGTTTAATTGAGCATTTAGAGCCTCGCTACATGCTGCCAAACCGGCATTTCATCTCGGAAGAAGCTATCCCAGGCAAGTACAAACAGGTGCGCAAATTCATCCCCGAAAGTTTGGAACTAATTCCCACGTTAAGCATGACGACTGATATCTGGAGCTCGGACGTTTGTCCGTTGTCGCTGCTAAGCCTGACTGTACACTGGATAGACTCGAGTTTTACAATGCAAAAAGCAGTGTTGCAGGCCAAAGAGTTTCGTGGTTCACACACGGGAGAGTCCATCGCTGCAGCTATGGAGGAAATGTTAAATGCGTGGAAAATTCCGAAGAATAAAGTCCACGTTGTTTTGCGAGACAATGCCAGCAATATAAAAAAGGCAATGGACCGGCTAGGTGTTGCAAGCTTGGGATGCTTCGCGCACACTTTGCAACTTGTGGTGAATGAGGGACTGCTTGCACAACGTGGTGTATGTGATGCTGTGACAGTGGGCAGAAAAATAGTGGGTCACTTCAAACACTCACCACAGGCATATTCGCGTTTGGAGGACATTCAAATGGAGCTGAACATGTCACCCAAACGTCTGATACAAGATGTGCGAACAAGATGGAATAGCACATATTATATGATCAAGACCCTCACAGAACAGAAGCGAGCCTTGTGTGCATATTCTGCAGAGTATGATCTGCCTGCCACACTTAGTGCACAGCAGTGGGGGTTACTGGAAAAGGTCCTGACAGCTCTAGCTCCCTTTGAGGAGTTAACAAAGGAGGTAAGCGCATCATCCTCATCTGCATCTGATGTCATCCCTATTGTCTGCGTCCTTAAGCGCGTGCTCTCCCGAGAAAATGAGGCCGACGAAGGAATAAAGAAAATGAAAGGCACTCTTCTCGAAGCGGTTAACAGACGCTTCAGAGACGTGGAATCCGAGCCACTATACACAGTTGCAACACTGCTGGATCCAAGATATAAAGACAGGTATGTAAGGCTTCACTCATGTTATTTTAACAGATCAACTTGTTTTTGTGTGTGTGTGTGTGTGTGTGTAAGTGATAGTGCATTAGAGAGAGTGTATCAGAAAATGGTGAGGACATTCTAGATTAGTTGTGATAGACTTGTCATTCAATCAGGACACCACCATTGCGAATAAAACATGCATTGTCTGATTCAGAGTAGTACAGCAAAGTATGTTGAGGTCTTTATAATGAGCATGGAATAAATAGCAAGAATGAGGAATGATAGTTTAATCACACTGCTGAATGATACTAATGATAAATTTAATGCTTGTTTAATATTCAAGTTTGGACTTTTTTCATTTCAGGTACTTCACGAGTGTAGAAACCTCAAAACAAGCTAAAGATGCTTTGATGGCAGAGGTGAGGAAGATGGAGTTTTTGAGAACTACATTAAACTCCTCAGAGCCAGCAGAGGGGACATCAGCAGTCTTGGAGCCAGCAGAGGGGACATCAGCAGTCTTGGAGCCAGCAGAGGGGACATCAGCAGTCTTGGAGCCAGCAAAGAAGACTCCACGGGTGGAATCTTCCAGCCAAAGCAGACTTGAAAGTGTTTTTGATGAAATCCTGAAGGAAAACACTCAAGATCCTGTTCCTCAGTTAGCCACAACAAGTGCACGCATTGAAGTGCAAACTTACCTTAGTGAGCCAACCATTCAACGCTCAGATAATCCACTGCTGTACTGGCAAGTCAACAAACTTAGATTTCCCACTCTGGTTTCTACAGCAGCTAAATTTCTCTGTGCACCTACCACAAGTATTGAGAGTGAGAGACTCTTCAGTACAGCCTCCATTATCCTTAATGAAAGGAGAAGCAGGCTGACAGCTGAGAAGGTTGAAATGTTGATCTTTCTGAAGAAGAACCTACCTCTCACGTTAAAGTGAAAAAAAAGTTACAAATGCATTATTACAAGAATGTTGTTTGCGCTGCTAAAATTGCACCTTTTTTCAGTACCAAAGGGGTTTTCAAATTTGCATAATGTTGCACTTTTATTTTGATGAATGTTACTTTAAATACTTCGACATTTAAAGTTCTGCATAATGTTGCACTTTTATTTACTTGAATTTTACTTTAAATACTTCGACATTTAAAGTTCTGCATAAAGTTGCACTTTTATTTACATAAATGTTACTTTAAATACTTCGACATTTAAAGTTCTGCATAATGTTGCACTTTTATTTTGATGAATGTTACTTTAAATACTTCGACATTTAAAGTTCTGCATTATGTTGCACTTTTATTTACTTGAATTTTACTTTAAATACTTCGACATTTAAAGTTCTGCATTATGTTGCTCACTTTCAGGATGGATATTTTGATAGTTGTGACAGCTGAACAGTGCTAAAGTTTAAATAAAGAGATATGCATTGTTGAAGTGAGCAATATTTTGGGTGCAGTCTTTTTCTTGCATGCAAATATAAGAGAATAGCTTTAGTGTTTTGTCTTTTTAAATTTGACTTTGAACTTATACAAAAACAGTTTAAAAAAATAGATAT